GCGTACCAACTCGATCGAAAATGTCACAAGAAAGTTCCTATAAAGTTGGTGATCAGAGCAGAGAGTGCTGTTTTACACACGCACACACATACACAAGTACATCATAGTAAAACCGATTACATTCCTCGCCTCGCTCAGAATCTAAAGAAATACGAGTTTGTTTTCGACATTCCGGAACAGTATCCGTAAGTAATCGGACGAATTCAAATCGTCATTTTCGGGCCGGAAGAGAGTAGGTGGGTACCCACTGCGTTTACATTTCTATATGGTCATTACATAAGCTCGAAAAAACACGATACGTTTTTTTTTTTTTTTTTTTTTTATCAAAATGCGTACAATTTTAACGAACAGCTATAGATAGGGATTTTTTTCCCCCTATCCAAATGTGAATACTAATCTATTAATGCGCAAAAATATTCGATAAACATATTATTATTATGTGTGTAGAGGGGACTGTAGGCGTATCGATTGCCGATAATCGGCGTTAACAATATTACCATAAAGAAACACACCAATCTCCAACGATTGCGGGATACATCGGAATGACGAATTCTTGGTCGTCGATAATTGTTTGTCCCCCCCCCACCCCTGCCCATACGGCTTTTCGAACACGAAAATTATGTCACGTCCGCGGAATGTCAGTGTGTTACAACGTATTATGCAGGAGTGAGTTCGAATCGATAATATATTATGTAAAACGATAACGATTCGATAAAGTTATTTTGTGAAAACGAAAAAAAAAAAAAAAAACCATCGTGCACACGTCACACGAGTATCAGGCAGGTACCCCCGTACACTTACATCGTACAAAGCGTAACCAACAATGCGCGTTACATTGTTGAATTATTATACGGGCCCGGTTTTTTTTTTCCCAAATTGGCATTACAACTTGTCACGTGCATACATCTATACAGATTCGCGATGTTAAATAACAATATGATATTCGAGTTTTTAAACCGGATTACGTGATTTGTTTTTTTTTTTTTTGATACACCATAGATACCTGTCTACAACTGCTGCACCCGTATTATTATGCCTTCGAATCGAAAAACACCGCGTAACCAGTGTATAATAGTAAACTGGGGCTATAATATAATAAACAGGTAACGTTGCGACGAATATAATACTTTTCCCGAGAGGACGTGGCACCCGCTCGAAAATTAAAACGCCAAGGAAAACCGCGACGCGCAAACACGCGGACGGCCTTTGGGTTTAATAACAGGTCGCGGTTCAGTCCGATATTAAAACGAAATTGTACGCGAATGTACTACGTCGGGCGTTTGTAAAACGGAGACGGAAAACATGCGTGCGTCTTCTTAAAAAAAAAAAAAAAAACTTACGTACTAACGAAAAGCGAAAAATGTACGAAAACGATTGTGTTTAATAAGTGACGTAATAACGGACGATTACAGACGGCGTATTACAGCCGATGTTCGTTAACTCCGAGTGCGCACACAATCATAAAAATCATAGGTCCGCCGGACCAACAATTTATAATACAAAAAAAAAAAAAAAAAAACTGAAAAATAAGTATACAGTGTTATTTTAAAGTGCACGCGACGATGGCAAANATATTAAAACGAAATTGTACGCGAATGTACTACGTCGGGCGTTTGTAAAACGGAGACGGAAAACATGCGTGCGTCTTCTTAAAAAAAAAAAAAAAAAATGAAATGGTAAAAAATAAAACGAATGGTATATGATTATTCACGTGTTAACGCATATATACCTACGTCTATTATATAAATACTGGTTTAACTGGTTGGTTACAGGAAAGAAAAAAACGAAAAAAGTAACGAAATTATATTTTTCAATTATTCGACGAAAACGAATAATGACGCAGAATAAAAAAAAAAAAAAAAACTGAAAAATAAGTATACAGTGTTATTTTAAAGTGCACGCGACGATGGCAAAGTCGAACTACAATTATTTTAGTCGAATTGTAATTGAATCAGAAACAAAAAAAAAACGGTAATCGACTGTCAAACAGCACTCGGATCGAATAAAGTGTTTTGACAAACGTGTTCGAAAAAATAAACTCTTAATTTAAAACAGAAATGAAATTTAAAAACATGTTACCTTCTAAATGTGTATGAACACAAATCAGTTACAACTTACCAGAACGGAGTTTTTAAATTTCGTTTTTTTCTTTTAAGTTACTACGAAAAATAACTTCAAATTAACGGCAGTAATAATTCGAACTGCGGGTCCCGACCATTACCCGTTTTCGAGCCGAGCGCAAGTCGATCAATCGATTTAGGTAAGTATAAAATGTGCGGTTATCCGACTAACCCGCACGCGACCTCCCGAAACACGTTTTCCGTTTAATTATTGATTTAAACGAATGAGAATACATAATTTACGATATTTTTACAACGCTTTGGCGATTGTGTCCGACGGATAAAAAAAAAAAAAAAAAAGAAAGCATAGTTGCGTCGATGGTAATATACAATTGTGCTCGTGCGGAGCGTCAGAGTTCAAAAAAGACAATTTAAACGCAAACGGATGCACGGCGCGCAATTAGCGTAGGCCGATTTCAATAGACGGGGTTAAATTGAGTAAAAAATCAGTGATGTTGTATTTTGACTTCCGAAAATCGTTTTTTCAACGATATGTATACGATACCGTATTGGCCGGAACAGATCGCGGACAAACGCGGGTTTGCGAAAAATACGCGCGAATGCGATAAGACACGTAAAAACGGGAGAACGCGAATTCGCAGGTGCGTTTGTGCTTTTCGACAAAGCGATTGCGTACGTTTTTCGGTAGATCGAAAAACGCTTACGAAAAGAAAAAAATGAAATCAACGCGGTCGCGTACGAATACGCGCGCAACGTTGTCAATCGATGTACACACTAAAATACGGGTACACGATAATTGTCCGGCACGATAATCGTGTCGGAACTGTAGATTATCACTTGTACCAATAAAACGACGAACGAACGAATAAAATCAACAAAAAAGTGAACTATTTCGAAACGCCTAAATCGTGATTTCTGAACGTCCGAATGTATACATACTTTCGGACGTCGGAATGCGTTAATCGTACGGCTCTAATACCCGTCGTAATGGGCTGCGAAATATTTCGAATACGTCGCGTTAATAACCGACCGCGTGGCCCGCGGGTCTCTTGTCCGTTAAAATCCGTAAACAACAACCGCATTACTTTCGTCCGAAACAGAATACTCCCGTACTTTGTACAGGCAGAATTTCCGCCGTTACCCGCACGTCGGCGGACGCGCGACCGTCGACGGCGCACAGAAGGGCGGGAAACGCCGGCACCGTCGTCAGACGACGGCTTTTCCGGCGCGCCGAGGTGCGTTCGATGTCGCCGTCGCGGTGCCGCGGACAACGACCGACGCGTTTATGGGGAGAAAAAAAAAAAACGAAAAGCGGCGCTACGGGTTCCGGCCGTACCGAAGTAGCCCGGAAAGTGTACCGCCGATGGCGGACGTGCGCGGCCGCGTTCCGGCCCCCGTAAAACGATGTCGCGGGGCCGGGCGACCGACGCCCCGAGACGGCGCTGGACGTACGCGATTTTCGCGGTATCGGTTTCCGCGGTCTGTCTGGCGGGCTAAACGAGACCGGTTATAACGCGACAACCGCGTCGCGGTCGAACGGATTGCCGACTAAATGGATTCGGGGTTTTTTCGTATTTTTTTTGTTTTTTTTTTTTTTTTTCTACATTTCAAAATGTGTTTTCGCGTCCGAACCTAACCAATTACCCGGTTTGTAACGTCGCGGCAATCGCATTTTCGAACAAACCGCGTGCGGACGGTACCGTACGCGTATAAAAAAAAATAGACCGGCGGCTCGGCGCGAGAAGGGCCGATGTCGGATTTTTCGAAACAATCAGTCGGAAACAAAAATCGAAAAGGGGCGACGATTTTGTTTGTTTTTTGTTTTCCAAACGAAAATATTTTTTTTTTTTTTTTTACGTTTACGTGAGAATCGTAAACCACGCAAACGTTTAATAAAATACACGGGGGCCTCGCGGGGTATTGGAATTCCGTGACATCGGCCTTTTCTCGCACCGAACCGCAGATATATGATATTGTACGTTGAATTTTTTTTTTTACCGAAACGCATACGGCTCTTGGCCGCCACCACCCCGTCCCCCTATCCCCAACCCGCCCGTCTATCCGCAGTGGTAAACAAGTAAACGATATTTTTTTTATAAAATAATACAAACTGCCGTCGGGTACTTACATTGCTGGACGAGACATGCGGCGATTGCCACCCAGAGACATGCGTTGCGCTTCATCGTTGTCGCGGAAATGATCGCTGGTCGGTGACTGACTGTGCGCGGCGGTGCAGCGGCGGAGCCCGTGGTCGCGTTCGAGACGGCGGCCGCCGCGGACGACGCGGACGGGGAACGGGACCGCGGGAGAGGTAAAACGGAATAACAGTGGAAAAAGCTGAAGACGCGGCCGGCCGCGGGGGAGATAGACAGAGAGAGAGAGAGAGAGAGAGGGAGAGAGAGCGAGTGAGAGGGTTGAGGAGGGAGGGGGGGAGGGAGACGATGAAAGTAAAAGAGCGGGAACGGGACCGGGCGAGCGAGTTGGAGAGAGAGGCGAGAGAGATCTCGTCGGAGAGGTCCGCGGATCCCACGACCCATCCTCCTCGCGTACGCATAACAACCGCAGTATTGTGCATCCGTAATATTGTAATAACGTGTGTAACGCCGTGTATTACGCTAGCGTATTATTTATTGTTTTTTTTTTTCGGTTATCGTCGTCGTCGTTATTATTATTATTATTATTATTATTACGTGCGCGAATAAATATTCTGGTCGAAATGGGATTTCGGACGCTTGATTTTTTTTTTTATTTTCTCACACTGCGATTCTCCGTTTCCTACGGTCGGGAGCGCGGTAAAATTATGTATGTATCGCGCGACGGTTTCGAAACCGTCTCGCGCGCGCTACGATGAGTCAACGGAGTTGTCGATGACGGGAGACGGAGAAAAAAACAAAATGCGTTTTCGCGTCGGTAACTAAAATGTTGAAATGGCCGACACCGGGCGGACGGGCGGGCGATGGTGGGCAACGCGGGATCAAACGCATAAATCAATTTATCGTGTTCGGACAATACCCGTACGCGACGGCATTTTCGGGACACGAGAACGGTTCGCCGGCGTTTTTGCACGCCGCCCGTACGGACGGTCCGCAAAAATGCAACGACCCGCGGCTATGGCGGTGGGTGGGAATGAGGGCTGGGGTGGTCAGGGACGGCCTAATGCCCGTGTGCGCCCGAACGCGTTTAAACTGTTGTCCTGTTCCCCGGCCATTATTGTCGCGCTCGGATTTCGCGTTCCCGCCGAATTACGCGGTCCGAAATAACTGTCCGCGCAGCGCGGAGTACGCTCGTGGCCGGAGCAAGAATGGCGGCGTTGAAATATTTACGCGTGAACAGCGCAGGGTGCGCCGGCTAAACGTTTTGAATTCCGTCCGCAGCCCGTCTGTCGACTCACCGTGCGTTAAAATCCGAATGAAATTTGACGGAAAAAAAAATTCAACCAAATGTTTATGAAACCCTGGGAATCACAACTGTTTTAGATCGATTAGAAAGAGAAAATGAAAAAAAGCCGATGAATGTATTTAATTTACACCCGTACGCATCGATAAACCGATTACTAACCAGAAACGGTTAGGAGCGAAGTACGGTTATTAGTTTTTTTTTTTTTTACTCACCCAGTACGACATAATGAACCCGCTGTCAAATTTTCAAGCATTTCTGTTCAGGTCAACAATAACTTTATCCGCGAAACACTCCTACGACTATAAATTTCGTAAAAAAAAACTCGCAAAATTAAAATCGCAATCAATAGCTTGAAAATGGCTCGAGTATTACCACGTCTATAAAAGACAAATATTTGTTTTCTGTCCGAATTTCAGTTCTTCTGGCTGTATTACAACAACAAAAAAACAAAACAAAACAAAATTGAAAATTATAAAAACATCGACAATTTTACCATTTTTCCTCGGGTTTTCCCAATTTAACGAGTACTGACTTGACAGAATTTCTTATCAGAAAAGATACTGCGCTTGATACATCGGAGTAAGATTTCTGGTAGAAAAGTTGTTCACGATATGAAAAAAAAAAATCAAAATTAACATCGTTGTAAAACCAATACATTTCTCCATACGTCACGAATCTAATGCTACTATTACGCTGAATTGACATTTTAGTTTTTTTTCGAGCGTTTTAGTCTTATTCGATTTTATCTGTTATTTTTATAGTTTGGCCGAACGAAACAGCTTTACAATTTAATACGATGTTTATTATGGATTTTACTTAGTGGTAAAATAAAAAAAATGTTAAGCGTTGTGCCGTAGTTGTGTTTTCGTATAGAAACCGCTTAACGTTTTGAACTTAAAACAATTTCAAGTTTCGAAGAAACTCGTAAAAATCAAAAAATTCCAAAATATATTTAACCAAACTTCGCTCGGAATATTTATGCATTTACTAAATACTATTTGGTTATCGTTAGCAGTGGTTTATCGTTGCGTACAGGTGTAAATCAAATAACTTAATGTATCCTATACCTTCCCAACTTCTCACCTACAACAGTGGCACACCCGTCCTCGGTATCAAGCTCTATTTTTTTTATTTCTGATAAACTAAAACTTTACTATATAATAAGTGTACCGTTTTTATTGTAAACGAGGGATCACCGGTAGACCGGTAGACCAATTGTAAATCACCGGTGACTTTACCATACAAAATTATTTTGTTGAATTGTCGTTATAGATATAAAGACATCATTGAAAAAACACTATGCGTTTTTTTTGTGATCCATTCGGAGATTTTATCCTCCTTATACAAAACGGTCCCGCCGTGTCAAACTTAGTCCAGATTATATTTCTAATTTTCTGGGCGTTTATCGCGTTCTTATTGACGTCCCCGTTCGGTCCAAACGAATAATAGAAAATAACAAAAATGGGAAAAAATTACGGAAATTATGGAATTATAAAAAATAAAATGCAAGAGATCCCGCACGAGGTCCCGTCTTCTTTGAGACCAAAGGTAACACTATAAATTATGCATTTTTCATTTTGTTTCATTTGTCTATACGTGTATATGAACACTATGAACAAAATAATACAATAATCGTATAAACAATATTATTGTAGACGGGCTAATAATTTTTTTTTTTTTATTACCTCTTAACACATAATACAATTACGGAAGTGCCGAAAAATTTGTATTTTTTTTTTTTCATTTAGATTTTATAGGTAGATATAAAGTATAAGTTTCCATTGTCGTAATAAAGGAGTACGGAACGGATTTTAGACTCCCGCGGTGTAAATGTGTGAATACGATTGTGTTTAGGGGCCGCGGATGGGAGGGAAATCATTATTTGTTCTTTTATAATATCGTATATTACGAACCCATTTTATGATCACCCGTGTAGGTATAATAGAGCCGAATTGCGTCATTTTTTTTTTTAAACAAAATATCGTCTTTATTTTGTTACATCTTTTATCTTTTGTTGTGTTAATTTTTTTGACGCGCGTGAATTGTCCCTTAAAAAGGAATTGAATCCGGGTAGTCGGCGTCAAAGCCGCTGGGTTCGGTAAAACTGGCTGGTTCTAGATAAAAATGTCCAAGGAAAAAATATGTGGAGTTAAAAACGCTCAGAGGTAAATAGCGAACAATTTTTACTCTTGAATACCACCGCTTCTGCTCAACATTTTTTTTTTTTACCACAAAGTACGACTTTTAATGAACCTCGTGTTAAATTCTCAAACATTTCTTTTTGGTCTAACAACATCCATAAAGTACCGACCGAATAAAAAATACGTACAAAACTCGCATAATTAAAATGTCTATAAATTATACAAAAATTTTACCACATAAAGAAAAGGCTAATATAAGATTTCTGTCCAAACTTCAAGTCTCTACGAATATTTTTAACTGAGTTACAGCGAAAAAACAAAATTTAAAATAATAAAAGCATTATTTTCGTAAATTTTCCCGTTTTTCTTTCGTTTTATCTCGGTGTTTCCTGATATAATGCTACTATGCAATAAAATAATAATGAAATATTAATATGATATATTATTTGATTGATATAAGATATCAATATATTTTGTCAATATTAGATCGTTTAGTAAGACTTGTATATTTAACATACAAATTTAAGTTGAGCCATTTTATAAAAATTTTAGATTTCTGTCAATCTGTTGGCGAGATATTCCACTTTTAAGTTTGGTGGTCAGGGGAGAGTAGTGGAACATCATTTGCGTGGCAGCACAGCACTCGGCGTTTTAATAACGTACCGCGCTACTCTCCCTCGACCCAAACCTAAAAGTTGAATATCTCGTCAACAGATTGACGGAAATCAAACACTTCAATACCAAAATGCATTTCAACTAACACTCTATCTATTTAAAGAATTTTTAATATAGGTCGCCATTTGAAAATCAAAAATAGGTAGCGATTTTACCCTCAAAAATAAGGGTGACAAGAAATTACGTAAATGTAAAATTGTACAGTTGCTTGTTTCATAAATGTTCTATAGAACAAATTCCGAAAAAAATTAATTTTTTCCGAGCTAATGAGTGTCTCACGATAGATTGATCACCCTGTATACCTAGGATAATCTATGTTATTACGTATGTTGGTTGGTTGGTACCGGCAAGCGATAATGTTACATTAGTCCGTGTGACATTCTCAGCATTCTCTATTTCTTTTCCTGTTTTTTTTTTTTTTTTTACTTTTTTTTTTTCTCAAGTTATTTGCGTTGTAAATTATTAGGTCCTTAATTATTATTACGCTTACATAACATTAAATGGATGAACGCTGTTCAGTTTTCATAAAAATGTCCCTATAAGTCCTGATGTAGTTCTTGATAAAATAACTGAAAAGCCTAGAGTAACTGACTTAGTTTTGTAATAACTGTATAATACAATATACAACTGTTGTTGTTGAATCGAAAAAAAATAGGTTAATTAAGATGACGGTTGGTTAATCTATGACGTACTTGTGCTAAAATGTGTGTGAATAATGTGTTGAGATTTAAGTTTATTTTACAAACAATACAATTGGAATATCGAAATTCATATTTTATCCCTCCCCCTCTCCTATGTGAAAAATGCTGTACGCGTCACTGCTACGATAAATTTCATCAAAAATTCTATGTTCTAATGTTTATAATTTACTGCGGCAACATGATAATATTTATGTACTTAGAAAGAGATCGGATGTCGGAGGGAACAAATTTAAATAGACTGTTGGTGACTATAACGCTTAACCAGAGACATTATAAATATAAATAATACCACAGAACAAAAATTAAAAAATCAAACATTATCTTAATTTGTTTCCAGTTTAGTTGTTAATGGTTTAATATAATGCGATTTTGTGCGATTTTTTTTTTTTATTTATTTATTTCAACTATAGACCTTTAAAGTTGGGCACGGATATAGTAGTGGAGCAACATTCAAACATACATAAATGATGTTACACTGCTCTCCTAGCCAAACTTAAAAGTGAAATATCTCATTGGCGGGCTGGTGGGATTTAAAAATGTCGTTGCTAAGATCGCTGACTGAAAATCAAAAGCGGGTAAGTCCACAAATGTCGCGCACAACATGTTGTTTTTTTTTTTTTTTTTTCATACCGTTTTTCATGCGCGGTTGTCACGCATCGAAAACATTCGTTTTGAAATACTTTTAAACTTTGGCGTACACGCTAACTTTTTCAAACGGACATACCAACTAAAGTTCGCGTTACGTAAACGAAACTTTATTTATCAATTTTGTTGATGACGGAGCAAATCAATTACGGATTGTAATATAGTCGCGCAGTAATGGTTCTGTACAAACGGCGTGCGTCGGTCGTCGATTCGTGCAAAATGTTGTTTCAGGGATATTATTAATTTCTTCCGTAACGGCTATTTCGTATTGTGATATCATTATCATTATAGTTTAGTACTCCACATCTTACTGTCACCGTGCCGTTACGCGTCATAAATCGCGGGCACGTAACGATTCGCCATCACGGCCATCGCGTGCGTGATATTATCTCCGTCGTCGGCGCGCAATTCGGCATTTCCAATCATACGCTTATAGATTCGGAGTGTAGCGCGGAAATTATTCGTTATACGGGTGTTTTTTTTTTTTTCCCCCTCGAAAATCTCGCTCTGATGCAACGGCGGTCTTGATAAACCATCAAGGAGGAGAGGGGGGCGACTTTAAATTGGTTAGGCCCCGAACCATAATAACATATGTCAAATAAAGGACAAAATGCATTTGCGGTCGTATCGTAAATTACACACAATTTTCATTTTAGATGCTGAGCGGAGCGAAGAAGCTTGTGGTTTTACGACAGTTTTATCTGTGGACGACTTTTCTACCAGAGATGTTGCTCCGGTGTACACGGCGGCAGCAACTTTTCTGAATCGAAATTTTGTCGGAGAGGTACATGAGGAAGGTACATTTTTTCGTTTATCTCCGGAGTTTTCTCAGCAAATGTGAAAAACCGGGAAATTTCGCCCGTTTCTCCCGCCACCACCCCCTACCTCA